TCACGATCGATCTCATTCAACGGGACACCACGGGACACCACGGGACGCACTATCGATTTCACTTTTTCGGACACCATGGGACAACTCGGGGCACCACATCGATCTCAGTATCGATCTCACTACCTATACGACCACCCTTCGGGTGATAAGGAAGTTCGGGGGGGGGAGGAACCAACGCCTCACTCGATCGGTCTCACTATCGATCTCACTATCGATCTCACTATCGGTCTCACTCGGTCGATCTCACTCGATCGATCTCACAATCGATCTCACTCGGTCTATTTCGTCCGGTCGATCTCACAGTCGATTTGACGATCGATCTCACAATCGATCTCACGATCGATCTCACTATCGATCTCACAGTGGATCTCACATTCGGTCTCACTATCGGTCTCGATATTACAATCGATATCACTATCAATGTCATCAGCATCATCAACAACATCCTCGTCATCAACGTCATCAACATCATTATCATTATCACCAATTATCATCATCCGGACACCATCATCACCTCATCACCACCATCATCAACATCATCATCACCACCATCATTATCATCGGGACACCGTCATCGTCAACATCATCATCATCATCAACATCATCATCATCTTCATCATCATCATCATCGTCATAGGGACACCATTATCATCATCATCGGAACACCACCATCATCGTCATCATATCATCATCATCATGAGCAACATCATCAACATCATCAACAACATCATCGGGACACCATCATCATCAGCAACATCATCATCACCATCGGGACACCATCATCATCGTCACCATCTTCATCATCACCATCAGCATCATCACCATCGGGACACCATCATCATCACCAACATCAGCATCATCATTGCCATCATCGGGCCACCATCATCAAAATCATCATCATCATCATCCTCATCATCATCAACTCATCGTCATCCTCATCATCAACAGCATCATCATCGGGACACCATCATCGTCATCATCATCATCAACATCATCATCATCATCGGGACACCATCATCATCACCAGCATCATCAACAACAGCATCATCAACCTCATCATCATCATCGGGACACCATCATCATCAACATCGCAACATCACCATCATCGAGACACCATCAGCATCACCACCATCACCATCATATCAACATCATCATCATCATCATCGACATCATCATCATCATCTCACATTCGGTCTCACGATAGGTCTCGATATTACAATCGATCTCACTATCAATGTCATCATCATCATCATCATCAACAACATCCTCGTCATCAACGTCATCAACATCAGTATCAATATCATCAATTATCATCATCCGGACACCATCATCACCTCATTACCACCATCATCAACATCATCATCACCACCATCATTATCATCGGGACACCGTCATCGTCAACATCATCATCATCATCATCATCATCATCATCATAGGGACACCATTATCATCATCATCGGAACACCACCATCATCGTCATCATATCATCATCATCATGAGCAACATCATCAACATCATCAACATTTTCATCGGGACACCATCATCATCAGCAACATCATCATCACCATCGGGACACCATCATCATCGTCACCATCTTCATCATCACCATCAGCATCATCATCGGGACACCATCATCATCACCAACATCAGCATCATCATTACCATCATCGGGCCACCATCATCAAAATCATCATCATCATCAACTCATCGTCATCCTCATCATCAACAGCATCATCATCATCGGGACACCATCATCGTCATCATCATCATCAACATCATCATCATCATCATCGGGACACCATCATCATCACCAGCATCATCAACAGCAGCATCATCAACCTCATCATCATCATCGGGACACCATCATCATCAACATCGCCAACATCACCATCATCGAGACACCATCAGCATCACCACCATCACCATCATATCAACATCATCGACATCATCGACATCATCATCATCATCATCATCATCATCATCATCATCATCATCATCATCATCAGCATCATCATCGGGACACCGACGGGACACCGGCGGGACACCGGCGGGACACCGCGCGGCACCAGCCCCCGGAAAGGAAACATTTGATCTGGCCGCGCCTCAGCCGGAGTCGGGACACCGGCGGGACACCGCGCGGCACCGGCCCCCAGAAAGGAAACATTTGGTCCGGCCGCGCCTCAGCCGGAGGAGACTTTCTTCTCGCCCGCCCACGCAGCTTCGCCTCGCCCGCACGCACGGCCCGCACGAATACGAAACCGAAACCGATTTCCTGGTAGGGGGGCTCTCCGTTCCACTTCGATCTCACCCCCTCACCTCCGATCAATCTCACTCAACGGGACACCACGGGATACCACAGGACACCACGGGACGCCGCGGGACACCGCGGGACACCGCTAGGGCCACCGCGATGCACGGACGGACGGGGGAGAATCATTTGTCTTAACTTCGCCCTTGCAACGGCGGACACCACGGGACAGCACGGGACACCGCGGGACACCGCTAGGGCCACCGCCGGACGGACGGCCGGACGGGGGAGAATCATTTGTTTTGACTTCGCCCTAGCAACGGCGGACACCGTGACACCACGAGTCACCACGGGGCACCACGGGACACCGCGGGACACCGCTAAGGCTCAGGCCACCGCCGGACGGACGGACGGACAGGGGAGAATCATTTGTCTTGACTTCGCCCTAGCAACGGCGGGTTTATTCCTCTCGCGCGCCCACGCAGCTTCGCCTCGCCCGCACGCACGACACGAACGAAACGAAACGATTTCCCGTTTATAGGGGTCTCCGTTCCACTGTGATCTCACGCCCCAACCTCCGATAAACTTGTGGCTCCCCAGTGCAAGTCGGGAAACCAGTGGAAGCACCCCCCCTGGCCTTCCCCCTCGCATCCCTCCCCCCCATTCCTCCTGACCACGCCCAGGACACCCTTGGACCCAGGACCCGCTGAAGGCCAAGCCCCCCCCATTCCTCCTGACCACGCCCAGGACACCCTTGGACCCAGGACCCGCTGAAGGCCCAAAGATGTCTCTGGAGGTTTCTGGGGGCTAAGATTAAGTCGGGCCTGTCCTTCTACGGGGGGAATATTCAAAAATAGTAAGACATAGTCGGGGGACGATGTTTTGAGTATGTTTGACCATTTGTTTGAAGATGTTGTTATTATTCTGATTTAACTTTTCGTCCAAGGTCCTCCTGTAGGGGGACACGCCCGACCGAATCAAGGCCAAGACAACATTACCGGGGGGCGTGCCCAGCTCGCCCCAGGCGCACGGCAGGACCACGGGGAGGCGGGGTCCCGTTCCGGCGACGGCCGCTGTCTGCTGGACCTCCCAGGAGCTCGCGAGAGTGGCGGCGGTTGCGCAGTCGGCGGCGTCCAGGGAGAACGAGTTTGGGTGCGAACCGCGTAGGGATGAGGTCCCGTACATCAAGGGTATAAAAAAACGCCCCTACCCTGGTTTGCGCGGCGCTGTGCGCTGAAACTCCTGTGGGCTGACAGGGTAAACCCTGCGTGATGTGCCGCGTCCTTGCGGCTCTAGGCTTTGGGGGTCCCCAGGAGGTTTGCAGACCACGCACTTGTAACCCAGGGTAGGGTCGTTTTTTCCATCCCTCAAGTACAGCGTCACTCCGCTGGATCTCCCAGCTCACGCAAGACGGGAGGAGGGGGGTGAGGATGAAGTGGCGGCAGCGCCCTGTTCAAAACAGGTTAGCGCCCAGCCAAAAGAGGGCTGGGACCATAGCGTTCTACAGATCAGCCCTGGCTGATCACGCCTTCTCCCCTGTTCTCCCCCCCCCACCCGTCCATGGTGGGGCCCCCACCCCTCCTGCCCGTTGGCGGGAGTATAGGGGGCCAGGGGGCGCTCTCTCTCTCTCTCTCTCGTTCTCTCTCTTCGGACTGAAAGCGGTGGGATCTGGGCCGTGCCGTTCCCTTCCCTTTTTCCCCCCTCCTGCACGCCGCTGCGCTTGCCAAAGCGTTTCAAAGCGACCCCCCCCCTCCCTCCCGCGCTCGCTCCGGACAGGCGTCCGACGCCGCTGCTCGCTGCCGCAGGGGGCGAGAGCGGGAAGCGCTCGCGAGGGCCCTGGGGCTCCTCTGGGCCCCTGGGGCCTATAGGCGCGCGCCTCTTCCCAGAACGCAAGGTTTTCATTTTGGCTGCCAGTCGTCGGCACTGGCAGCTGGAATTGGGATTTTCTCCGCGCGCCCTTTCCCAGAGCGCACGAGGCCCATGGGGCCCCTCCAGTTACGATGTTCCAACCTACTTTTGTCTAGGTCATCAGGAAGAATTTCGAGCACCAAGAAGGTATCGGAATTTGAGGGTTTTCACGTGTCGGGCCCTGGGAGGCGATACTCGTTCGACATTGTTTCGACAGCATTCTGGATGCTCGAAATTAACTGCAAGGGCTTCGCTCCATGCCGCCGGCCCGCTGTCTCGGATAATGGGAGATGCAAAAGCTAAATCATGAGGTCTGGGCGCCGCCGTGAAGCAGTGTCGGGACCTGTTTGTTTTTCGACCCTGACCCTACGGATCTGCGTCACGGGTGCCACCGAATTTCAGACATGTGGCAAATCCCTTGTGTTTTTGGACCCTGACCCTACGGATCTGCGTGAGGGGTGCCGCCGAATTTCAGAAATGTGGCAAATCCCTTTTGTTTTCGGACCCTGACCCTGCCGATCTGCGTGAGGGGTGCCGCCGAATTTCAGAAATGTTGCAAATCCCATATGTTGTTGGACCCTGACACTGCCGATCTGCGTGAGGGGTGCCAGACAATTTCAGAAATGTGGCAAATCCTATATGTTTTTGGACCCTGACTCTGCCGATCTGCGTGAAGGGTGCCGACGAATTTCAGAAATGTGGCAAATCCTCTGCGTTTTTGCGCCCTGACCCCGCCGATCTGCGTGAGGGTGCCAGACAATTTCAGGAATGTGGCAAATCCCATGTGTTTTTGGACCCTGACCCCGCCAATCTGCGTGAGGGGTGCCAGCAAATTTTTAAAACATGTGGCAAATCTAATATGTTTTTGGACCCTGACCCCGCCAATCTGCTTGAGGGGTGCCACCGAATTTTAGAAATGTAGCAAATCCCATGTGTTTTTGGACCCTGACCCCGCCGATCTGCGTGAGGGGTGCTAATTTTTACCCACCCCAGCAATTCAGACAACACGCTCAGGGCATGGTAAAAAGGTCCGTTTTGGGCCTCCCCCCCTCGCGCAGTCCATCCACAAGGAACAGTAAGCAACAAGAAGCAGAACTGCAACAGTGGAAACTGGAAGCTGCAACTGGCACAGGAAACTGCGAACCTCCGTCCTACAGCCCGGTGGCCCCACAAGGGGGCGGGCGGATTTCTGGGACGTGGCCTTTCAGGACGAGGGGAGCAGCATAACCCTCCAGGCCCGTGGAGCCTTGCCCCGGGCTAGCGCGCGCCCTCTCCCAGAGCGCGGGGGCACCCCGATGACCGTGGGAGAGCTCCTGGCTGCTCGTGTCAGCCTGGCTTCGTCCCGCGTTCCTCCTCGTCCCGCCTTCGTCTCAGCCTCCGGCTCCCCCGGCCGTTCGCTCGGCGACCTGTAGGGGCCGGCTTGTCAGGGGGCAGCGCTGGGGGGTGGTGTTGTTGGTCCGACATGTCGGCGATGCATCGCCGGCTCCAGTTCGATGCTCCCCCCTGAGCAGGCCCCCCCCCCTACTGTTGCCCCCCCCATCGTGGGCCCTACCAGGAGCTGCTGGGGGGCGCCCTTGCGTTCGGCGAGCTGCAGGGGCCGGCTTGTCAGGGGCAACGCTCGGGGCGTCGGTGGTCCGATATATCGGCGATGTATCGCCGATTCCAGGTCGAACGCAGGGACGCTTGCTTAGGGTGTCAGGAACGCTTGCTCAGCGTGTCGCGCCACCAGTTCTCGCCCACCACGCATCGGCCCGACACGCTATCCACGTCGCAGCATCCAAGCGTCAACCGAGCCTTCCCCTGCCTCCCGCCCCGCGGAGCGGAGCGACACGCTATCCGCCCGCAGGGCATAGCGTGTCGCCGGGGCCACCGCCGCGACAAGGTAAGCAAAAGTTCCCGACCGTCACGCGTACGGGAGACGTAAGATTCGAGTTCACCAGAACTCGGTCTGCCGACGTTTGACCAGCCCGTCATGGATTTTGACGGTCCAGTTTTTGTGGTCTCGTCAAATTTCAGACTGGGTCTCGTCATTTTTCTGACGGCCCTGACCCGAGTCCTCCGAACCCGAGTCTTACGTCTGCCCGAACGCTGCTATTCATCCAGAGCCCCGAATCATCAGGGCTGGGGGCAGTCAGGGGTAAATACAGATTCGCGCCTCGGGGGGCCCAAGCCAGAGTTATCCTGGACCGCAGTTATCCTGGATAGTTCGGGCATCCAACCCCCTCCCGAATCATCAGGGCTGTCAGCCCTGATGATTCGGCTGCCCTCAGGGGGCTGAGTTACCCTTACCCTGTTACCCCTAGCTGCCAGCCCTATTAGCCCTGTTACCCCTATCTGATTCGGCTGTCACCCCTGTTACCCCTAGCTGCCCTCAGCCCGGCTGATGGTAGTCAGGGGTAACTACGGATTCGCGCCTCGGGGGCCCAAGCCAGAGTTGCCCCAGACCGCGGTTATCCTGGATAGTCTGGGCGTCCAACCTTCCCGAATCATCAGGGCTGGGGGCAGTCAGGGGTAACTACGGATTCGCGCCTCGGAGGCCCAAGCCAGAGTTACCCCGGACCGCAGTTTTCCCAGATAGCTCGGGAGGTCCAACCCTCCCGAATCATCAGGGCGTTCAGGGGCAACTACAGATTCGCGCCTCGGGGGCCCAAACTGGAGTTGCTTCGGATCGCAGTTATCCCGGATAGTTCGGGCGTCCAGTTGTTCCGAATCGTCAGGGCTGAGGGCAGTCAGGGGTAACTACGGATTCGCGCCTCGGGGGCCCAAACCGGAGTTACCCCCACCCCAGACCGCAGTTATCCAGGATAATTCGGGGGTCTTTTCTCGGACGGGGCTAGGACGAGGATCAATCCGTTCCAGAGCGTTCCAGAACGCTCTCAGAGCGTTCCTGCACGCTCTGAGAAGGCCGCGGCGCCCGAGACGTCTTCCAGAGCCGCCGCATCTCAAAGATTCTCGATTTATCCTCATCCGAATCTGTCCTCCCTCGTCCTGGCTTCGTGTTACATCCGCGGACGATCTGTGGGCACCGTGCCGCGTGGACGCCTCACGTGCCGCCGTCGACCTTCGACCCGGGAATGGTACGGCGCACAGTTGATTGGCCCTTAGGAGCCCCAAAAGTGTGCACCGCACCGCGCTGGAGGGGGGCCTGAACGGAGTCCAGGCATGGTGCGGTGCATGGGCGCCGCTCTCGCCTCAAGTTCATCCTCCCTCGTCCTCTCGTATGGAACTCCTCCGAGTCCGTCCTCCCTCGTCCTGGCCTCGTCTTTTAACCTCATCCCGGGCCCCGCCAGGTGCTGCTGGGGGGCGCCTTCGGCTCCCCCGGCCAGGCGTTCGGCGAGCTCTAGGGGCCTGCCGCGAGCGACGGGCACCGCCGGCTGCCGCGCGCGCGGCAGGAGCTGTTTTTTTCTCACTCTCGCCCGCTCCATGGCCCAGAGAGGGAGGGCGGGAGGGAAGGGGAGGGAGGGGAGGGGAGGGAAGGGAAGGAAGGAGGTGAGGGAGGGAAGGAGGGAGGGGGGGAGTTGTTTTCTCACTCCCGCCCGCTCCATGGCCCAGAGAGGGAGGCAGGGAGGGAAGGGCTTGGTTTTGCCTCTTCCCAGTGCACGATCTCCTCCACAGACGGGCACGTTCCAGACCGCTACGGAACGGAACGTAGGGAGCAAAACGTCGAGCCGGAGTTCGATCTTCGATTCTGGCCTCCAGGGGCTGGTGTCGCGCCCAACCCGGGAGGAAAAGCAAGCCAGGTTGGTCCCCAGCAGGGGTCGGGGGATTCATTTCACGCGAATTTGGGCATCGGTGGTCGAACTCGCTTGGACGGAGGAGGGAGATCCGGAGAGGAGGAGGAGGAGGAGGAGGAGGAGGAGGAGGAGGAGGAGGACCAGAGCAAGCACAGGATGCATCAGCGATTTTGCAAAACACCCTCCCGCCTCAAGAGTCCGTGCAAGTATATAGTACATCTCTCCGCTGCGAGCGCCCAGTGGACCTGCCACCCAGGCGAGACCCAGACTTGTAAAGGATCCACCTCCATCCTTCCTTGTAGCTAGACACCGAAGAGGCAGGATGAGAAAGTTCAAGATAGTGTCCAGCGATAGTTCAGTTTTGAAGTGGTTCTGCCTTCCATATGTGCAAGCGTTGCACGTTTCAAAGTTCTGGTCATACAGGTTGTGGACTTCCAGCGAGAGCCGCATTCTCAAAACGGATTGGCCACGATCTTCGTAACGATTGTAGGTTTAAAATTACGATTGCGCGCGGCGCTGAGGCGAGAGTCGCATTTGAAATTATCCCCTCTGCCCGTGCAATTCGGGGATTTGCTTACGGCGCTAATGTTTTAAGTGCTCTGTCTCAAGCAATTTCTGGAGCCTGGGACAGCGACATCGAAATCAGTCATTCCGACCGCATTTGGACCGCATTTGACCGTTCCTCCTGCTCCTCCTCGCCCCCACTGCTCCTCCTCCCCCGCCTCGTTCTTCTCGCTCCCCTTTGTGAATGGGCCAGCTCAGTGCAGGTCCGGTCCGAGTCCGGTTCCAAGCGCGCTCCAGATTTGGTCCAACTCAGGCCCAAATCGGACAGCGCCAGGGGGCCACGTAGGACCCCGTGCAACGGGCACCAGGCCTCGTCGGCGCCCGATGCTTCTGCGCGCCGCTTGGACCGTCTGTTCGGCCTCGACGGCTTCGCGCCGCGGCGGCGCTTGCGCGGCGGAGTTCGCCCCCGTCGCGGGCTGCGTTCCGGGAGGTCGTCCGATGCCTGCGGGGGGGGGGGGGCGTCGTTTGGGCGCCCGCGCCCACGATCATGCAGTCAAGATGCTGATAAGCACTGACCGCGTTGGGCTCGGGAGGGGCTCGGGTTTCGGGTCCGTTCCTTAGGCCTTAGGCCCATGTCGCGGAACCTGTTTGTGACCCGGGCCCGCCGTGGCCGTGGTCAGAGGCGCCCTTTCGCTCCTTGCTGTGCGCTCCTCACGGCAGCGCGATGGCTGTAAGCTTGGCGGCCCTCTCTCTCTCTCTCTCTTGCTTGGTCGCGGTTGTGGCTGCCGAGTCGGGGGCCTCCGCCCTTCCGCTCTGGCCCTTGATACGCTCCAGGTCCAGCGATCTCGTGCGGGGAAGGGGGGCCCAGCGGCGTGAGCACAGGGCCCCAGGGATCGGCCAGTGGCGGGAGGGGGGCCAGGGTACGCCGTGCGGCCGACCGCCGCCCCCCCCTCGCTCGGGCAAGCGTTCTCCACAGCGCTCGCTCCGCCCGGAATCTCGCGCACCAAGTTTGCAAGGGCCCCGGCTCGCGCTATCTTGGGCTGCGCCCTTTGGCAGCCCCAGTGCAGCGGGGGCGTGCGCGAGCGGGGGCGGGGAAGCGCCCAGCCGCTCGCTCTGTCTGCCCCGGCTCCTGCTCTGGCCTTCCAGCGCTTCTCGGCGCAAGGCCGTCTTGGGCGCCGCGCGAAGCCGTCTGCTCGGGTTCCGATGGCTGCTCGCCGCGGCGGCATTCGCGCGTCGCGGTCCGCGGGCGTCGGCAACAGCTCGGGAAGGCTGTCGGCTGCGCGAGGACGCGCCGACGGGGCGCGAGCGGACCCGATTTGGCCCTGGTGGCCTCTTCGCGCTCATGGCGGTGACTGCGTTTCGGCGATCTCGGGCTTCAAGAGTTGTGATTGAACGTCAGGTGTCGGAACTTTCCCCGCGCTGGTCTATGGCGCGCACTGCGAGGTTCGCGTTGGGCTCGTTTACGTTGGCTCGTGGCCTGATGCGCGGCGCGCGCGATTGGGCGCCGTCGCGTGCCTTGCGCCTTGCTGCATTCTGTCAGCCCGCCTACGAAGCTCTGACCTTCTGCCTGTTCGCTGCCCCGTGACTGGGGGAAGGAATCAGGAAGGAACGTTTTGCCTCCAAGTCCAAGGCGGTGTCTCCTGCGCTGGCAACATATGCCTCGTGTGAGGCGCCTCGTGGAGCTGCAGGCCGGCATGGCCAGGTCCGTGGCGACCCAGGGACGGTCGCCAGGAGCACTGGCCAGGCGCAACCCCGAAGACGCGAGTTTTTGCAAGCTCCCAGTGAGGCGCCGGCACGGAGGCATAGGTGAAACGCGCGCCTGGTGATGAGTGATAGCTGGGACCGCCGCGCCACTCGAAGCGGTAGACACGGCGCGTAACAGCTGATCGCACCGTTCTGAGTCTGAGAAACGACCGTAAAATGCACGCATGGTTTCAGGGGCCGACCAGCCGCCCTGAGTTTGCACCAACTCTTTCGGCAAGCAGCACACTGTCTTGTACCAGTGGGCGCCGCCTTTTCGCAGCGAGTGTGTTCCCATTGCGGCAGTCTGAAAGAACTGCGACAGATTACGGCGGAAAGAGTCGCAACTCATGGGGCGGGGCTCCGCCAAGTGAGTTGCGCAAAACGCGGGCGCATCCGGGTCGGAACCCCAGCGCGAGTCCCGCTGCACCAACCATTCCCGCAGGAGGTGGTAAGGGCATAGGCTGGGGGTGTCGACCATCTTTGGGATGTGGCACACCATGCCTTGTCCGAAAGGGTCGTTCTTTTGGCGGGCGACAAAAAATAGACGAGAAATTTCCGCGTAAAGAGACGTCTCGACGCCGGAGCGCGAGAGTCTCGGAACACCTCCGGACGCCGAAGAGAGACAGGGCTGCTATAGCGATGTCCCGGACAGCGGCCAGGCTGCCTGCTTTGAGGCGAGTGGCTTGGTAACGCCGCAATTCTTCCAGAGATGCCGGGCGCCTCGCGCGCGGCCGTGAATGGTCGGCCCGCTTCTTCAGACCTCTCCAGAATTGGGCCGACCAGTCCGTCCATGCACTGTCAAATTGCGCTGTCAAGTTGCGCTGCTGGTGCCAACATCGCACTGCAGCGCGCAGGTTCGTGACGGATGACCAGGACCGGCCATCCACCTGGGCAAACGACAGCATGAATGTCACGTCTGAGTCGCACGGCAAAAGTTGCAGCCTCGATGAATTCTCGAAAGAATCTACGGCAGTGCACAGGGAACTGCTATACCGCTTCTTTGCGCTCTCCTCCTAGGCTGCTTGGAGGCAGCAGTGAATTGCTAATATGGCCCTACTGCGGTGCGCCCCCTGTTCCACACTCGAGGTGCTCTCGCGAATTGAAGACAAGAGGTCGGGGCCCTCACTCAGAAGCTGGCGCGCGCCTGGCGCGTCCACCGGCGGAGCTCGAAGCGGTTCGCGTTGCAGTGCGGGGGCCCCAACAGGCCCGCATGACGTGCTAGGGCGCCAGTGTGCGTCGCCGGGGCGGGATTCCCCCAGAGGCACCGCGGGCGCCTGCGAAGGTGCAGCGCGAGGCCCCCCGGCATGCGGTCTGTCGGCCGCCGGCCCGGGGCGACCGAAATGGTCGCGGTGCAAGCAGGCGAGGCCGAGGCGCCGGCGGCGCGCGGGCTCTGGCGATCTTGGGCCGCGCTTCATCTTGAGCCCCAAAGGCCTTTGGTCGCGGCGGCCACCCCCTGTCGACCAACCGGCCAGGGAGGGCGGCGGCGAAGGTGTTTTCTTCCCGCCGAGGGGGCAAAAAGTGCACCAATCGCACGTTTTCTTTCACGTTTTCTTGGCGGTCGTGGGCCGCCTTTGCCCTGCCGTGCGCGGCCCCCGGGGATATTGGGCCTCGGCAAAACTTATTGCTTATGGTGCGCGGATCCGGTAAACCACCCGCAATGAGGAGGTGTTTTTCTTCCCTGCCAGAGGGGCAAACAAGTGAAGCAATCGTGCGTCTTTTGCACAGAATTGCGTTGCATGGGGCCGCCGTGGCCGCGGCCCCGGATCCCGGTGATTTCTGCGCCCCCCAGCAATCGCTAATGCGCGTGGCGCGCGCGCCCGGCGACCGCCGACCCGCGCCCGCCGACGGCCCCAGGGCGGGGCCGCGCAGGGAAAGGGGGGGGGCGGAGCGGGAGGGGCGAAAGCGAAGGGCAGGCGAGGGGCGGAGACGGCATGGCGACGGGGGGGCGGACGGTGATGCGACGACGGGCGCTCTTTTATTCCAAGGCGTGCACCGGGCGCGGCCGCGGGCGGGGTCGCGGGGGCCGGCCCGGGGCGCGCGCCCGCTTGAAACGCAGGCACGCGGCGGAAGGAAGAAAAGACACGCGCTGGGAACAGCCTGGCAAGGACTCTGCCGGCAGGCGCGCGAATTAAAGCTCTCGCCCCGGACAATGGCGCATGAGAAAGCAAACGCATGTGCAGAGCCATGCGCGCGCCCAGCGGAGCGCCCATTGACCGGGGGCTGGCGCCGACTCGCGCGAGTCAGCGGCTGTAGGGGCAGCCCGTCGCCCAGTGCTCGTCGCCCTTGGTCCTGCCTGCCCCCTTGCACTCTGGGCAAGTGAGCGCGCAGCGGTTGCCGAGGGACTTGCACGTCGTGAAGGTATG